TCCATGACTTTTAGTGAGTTTTTCCTCTCCACTGTCGCTACAAGCATGCTTGGTGTGAGGGATTGCTGGTGAGTCAATGAGTCAATGCAATAAGCTGGTTTTCCTTTGATAGAAAGCCTTGAACCAATCTGACTGTATGATCTGGTTGAATTGTGTCTGTAAAATGCCTTGAGATGATACGTCTTATTAATTGGCCCTTTATAAATAAACTGAATTGAATAAATTGAAATTTGGTCTTTCTTATTTTATTCAATGTCTGTGCTGTTTTTTTGTGTGTTTGTTTTGTTATGTTTTTTACACAAAAAATATGATTTTGAATTCTTATTCTTATTATTAAAATTATTATTTCATTGATATGTCAGGAATAGTCAAATCTCACCCTTTTCTCATACGGCACCAAAAATCAATCCTGAGCCTTACTAGGACAGCTGATATGAGCACGCCTCTTTGTGGTAATTTGCATTATAGTTCAGCATCGTATACGACACAACATTCCAATTATCTAAATAGCCCCTTTGTTTACCTATGTAATATGATATCTACTTCTTGTTTTAGTCTTTACTACAATTGTTGTGATATGCAATGACAGTGGAAAGACTGCTAGCAAACAAAAAATAAAATGTCTGGTGTGAATTTTGTTCCTTTATTGTACAAAACATTATAAGAAACCGGTTCTCCTAGCAAAGAACATGTTTAGTAAATGGAAGTTTAAAATAAATGCAATCCATAACAAAACTGTTAAAAAAAATTAAAATGAAAAAATAATTTAAATTAACTTTGCTGTTTTCCAATAGTTTAGTTTTCTGTCTTGTTTTTTTTTTCTACAGATTTTATATTTTCCAAATTTACTTTTCTTAAAAATATCTTTTTGAGATTGAGTTTTATAAAATGCATATTTTTCTAACTGTTTTTTACAGATCACATTCTCTTCACCTTAAGCGAAATACAAATGCTTGCTGTCGGTGCTCACATTGAAAATAAAAACTGTATCTTTGCTCCTCCCTCCGAGAAAAAGAGAACGCCCCATTAGTAAAGAGAATGTCATCTGCCAAATGAAATTTGAAAAGATTGAAATGAGTGAAACTCATGCTAAAGATAAGAAGACTAAAAAGATAAAGAAATACAATTTTATTTAAATAAGCAAAATATTAAAAACAATCTGAAAAAGTAAAATAAAAAAGATTAAATAGAAAACAATTAATTAGAAAAAGGAATTTAAAAAATAACAATCTGAGAAAACAGCAATGTTTCTATCAAATTGTTTTTGATTAAGATGTTTCTCAGAGTTTCATTTGTAGAAGGCATTTTTTTTTCTTTTAATTTACAAAATGTGTTCTTCACTCACAGCAATAATAAATAATAATAATAAGAAAAAACCTGTAGATCAGGATAAATTTGTTAGGTAATAGAGCTATTTTTTAAGTGCAAACTTAGTGTTGTGTAGAAAAAGGAGAAAAAAGGGATGCTTCAACAACAAAGTGCACTAAGGCAGAGGTTTAAACAATGTGCAGAGGTGAAGAACATTTTGCCACCTTGATGGACAGAGCAGTAAAGCCAGGGGGAGTGTACAGGTCCTGATTCCGGTGGGTTGCATCATAACTACATTTTATACCATGTCTTTCATTATTTTATTTTATCTGATGTCTAAGCAGGAGTAAGTCTATCTCGGATAAAGAGGAAAGTTACACGTTCAAGAACAATTAAAGTCCATCCTTAGTCCATCCATGTATGATGAGATCCAGCTTGACATAAACTGGACTGTGAAAATGCGCCAGTTCATAAAACATAAACTGATAAGGCTTATGAATTTCGGACAAATGCAGAGTGGATATTTCTAAAACGGTGTTAGAAACAACACCAGCACTAAGCTGGAACGCAGCACATTGTTCACGTACCTAAGAAATGACACCTATTCATTTTAGAAATGGAAATTTTACCATGCATTCATTTGGTTTGTCCTAGGGCTGAACTTACCCGATATCAAACTTTTTTCTGTTCTATCAGTACCAGCTGATTGACAGATTCCTTAGTGCATTTAGAATCCATACCTTTAGCTCACGTGAATTACTCGCATTGCCTTTCTCCTCTATTTGCTAACCACTGTTACTGCTTTGTTGTGTATTTATTTTCTATACAGTTGTGTAACATTTTGCATCATTTTGTATTTCATATTGTGTAAATGGAGAAAGGAAAAGCAATATCAAAAATATCTCCAAATATTGGCCCAAGAATATTGACAGCACAAACTGTAGATTGTTTGATTAATGTCAAATTAATCAGTATCAACAATGCATCCGATTCTCAATCCAACTGTTAGCTATAGTTGGATTGAGGACACTGATCTTGTAGGATTTTTACACCCACACAATCTGGCTCTTTCATCAGTAGAACCAAGCTATTAATAAATTTACATGTGCAATAAAAAAAAAAAAACCTGTTTAAATGGTCAAGTCATAGTAGATATTAGGGGTGTAAATAATAATTATTTTGTATCGATCCAACAGCCGACGATCCGATGCATCGATACGTCCGCAAGAGAATCGATTCATGTGTATTTTTTCTTCCTCTGGTCTATTTTTATCCATTTGCTCCTGGGCGTAATTCTCCCTCCCGTGCTGCGGTGGCGCTAAACCTATTTTGCCCTCTTACCTCGCTTCCTGTTTATACTCTTACAGCAGTGTGTTGCAGTGAGCTTGACACAGACATTTTTAAGTTATGCTCAATATTGAAGCGTGGTCTGGGCTACACGCTGTGGGTCTAGATACGGCCGAGGCGGCGAGGAAGTGGGGGCAAGTTTAGTCCGACGACGGAGGGACATGAGGGCCAAAAAGAGCGAGGATCCAGGTGGAAGAAGGGCCCCAGGTCTTGAGTATCGAAAATAATCGAATCGTTGGGTCAGGAAATCGATACTGAATCAAATCGCCATGATGGATGTGATTTACACCCCTATTAGATACCCTGAACTTACAAGTTAGTAAATCCTTAAAATCTTTGCGCTTTGAAGGTTTACACCTTGGATTAAATTAAGGGCAAGGCATACATGCATATCATGTGAAACATGGATGATGTTCATGAAAAAGACATATTAGTTTCTTTAAAATAAGCTGTTCCAGTAGAATCAAATAGTCATTTCGGGCCATTCTATTCCAAACTCTTACCTTTCTAATCAAACTGTCTATGGCTGCAGTCCTAACCTGCCCGTTTGAAAAAGGTTCATTCCGATACTCTCAATGTGTGCATCAGACGAGAACTGGTGTACCAAACTACATTACTTGCAGTGCATTTTGCTTATAGCAAAAAATTGATGAATGGTACTTTATTAATCCACAGGAATGTGGCAGGCTGATAAGGTTATACAAAATATGTTTCATCTCAGGCTACGTTCACACAGCAGCATTCAGATTTTACAAAAAAAAGTCGGAATTGAGCATTGAACTCAAGTGGTAAGTCATCCGTCCTGCAAACAGGAAGGCTGGGTTTGTATCCCAGCTGGGGGGAAGGAGCTGCCACTGTAGGTCCTTAGGCAAGATCCACACTAATGCCTGCTTCAGGGAGTGGCAACCAACTCATACGGACTAACAACCTGGATCCCTGAGCAAGACCCTTAACCCCACACTGCTCCCAGGGCATGCACAATGGCAGCCCACTGCATCCCCAAGGGGATGGCTTAAATGCTTAGAGTGAATTTCATTGCTCTGTACTTGTGACAGTGTAATAACAATAAAAAGCTGGAGAAAAAGAAAATTAAGGCCTTCAGTGTAAACGTAGCCTAAGTTTCAGCTACCAAAGGAAACCACATTCTAGATTATGAGGTAGATTTACTTTTCCTCAAAATCTTTTCAAAATGTACATACATATCTTAGAATCAGCTAAACCAGTTACAGTGCAAAATGTATGTTTTTGACCTGAGGCCATACTTACCAGATTACCAGCTTTTAAATCCTAAAATTAAAGCCTCTTGAACTGAATTACATATTGACTTGTAAAACCTGAAAATTGTGGGAGTCTGCCATGACTTTAATCCGTTCAAATGTCCACACAGACATCCAGTTACAAGTAAAATCCCTGCAATCTAACAGATGAAGATCTCTGGGCTGTAGTTGGCATTCAAACACGCCTTTTAATCCCTGCTGCTCCAAAGATGGTTGGAAAAAATCACCTTAAATCAGCACAGAAAAGCACATCTGCAGCCAGCATAAGTCAACAAACCGGATGACTGAAGGGAGGCTATTGGAACAAGGTAAGGTTAACTCCTAACATTTTTGTATGCATCATCCGTTGCAATTAATAAAGCTGCCAGCTGCCTTAGAGTGAAGCTAATTATGAACTGATGCAAGCTGCTAAAACAGCAATACACTTAAAATGATTTAGGATCCAACTTCAATCAGCCTTCAATAATCAGTCAAAGCAGCATCAAGAATCCTCCCCTCCTTCAGTCTAATTTTAGGAACAGACCTTTCTCCATTCTGTTACTCCCCTCTACTCTGAAAATAAGCATGCACAAACCCATTAATCCATTTACATATTCTCATCATCATAAACCAGGTTTATAGGTCTTATCAATGCAGCCGCAGGGCATTCAGATTATGGTTGCTTGGAGCCTTTCAGAACCCATAAAGTTAATGTGTGCATGCAGCCATTCCTGCAAACAGCTATCAGGTCCTTTTATTGATGGGCAGCTGTTTATACTCCACCATCACTGACTCTGTGCAACAAGTAGATTTGTTGTCACTGTCTGCAACAGCTGTGAACCATTTTCCCCCTCAGAAAGGCAAAGCTTTCTTTTATACATCTGTATAAGGAGATCACTTCCAGGGCTGCAGTCAGACAAACTAAACAATAATAATGCAGTTACTATACATTGCTTTTTTATTTGGTCAAATAAAATAGGTTTTAATAGAATTCCAAGTAAAAACAGTAGCCTACAAAAACGGATACTGTTTATGCATAAAAAATATACAGTCAGTTTTGCACCAACATGCATATAATAGAGTGCTTACCTTCAGAGTTCGCAGAGTCCCATGCTGAAAGAGGAGAGGCTGCAGTGGGAAGAGTTGTGGATTGAGCAGAGGGATGAGCAGCCTTACATCAGAGGTGGCGGCAACAGATAGGAATGCACAAGAAGTAATCAGACGATTTCCGCTCGAATCGCTCCTCAGAGTTGGTAGCCTACTTGTTGAAGAGTGATCGGGCCATGCGGCTGGTGCTTCTCTATTAATTATCAGCGCTAAACATCAGAGTAACAAGCCCATCGAAAGTGCTCTGGTGTTGACGCACTCGGGGGCGACTTTCAGTGGGTGTGTGTTGGCTCGCAGCTGGAGCGTCTTCCAGCTGTTGGAGCGACAGATCGCAGTGCGGAGCCACAGTCCCGCCTCCTGGCAGCATCACCGCAGCGCGCGGGCATCAGACACACTACTGACTCACTAAGGAGTTTCAATGGCTGGAAGCTGGAGAAAAATGTATTCCTCTAAACTAATATTCTTAAAGAAACCTCGGGTTTACTCTCCCAAATGTCTTACTTTAGTTGCAAAATATTTCCGCATTAAACATCACTTTTATTTATTTAATTGTCAAAAAAGACCAAAATAATAAATAAATAAATTTCGCAGATCTCCAACTTCAATTCGACATACGTTGCATTCACGGAAAGAAATTAATAAAGTTTTTTTCACACCGCATATTAGATTTGTGTCGGAATTCGCAGCGATGAATGACGTCACATCCGAGATAAATAACAATGAACACTGGGATTTTCTTTCGTTACTAAACGAACATTTCATAACATTTTGGACCTTTAAAACACATGGTTACAAACAAGTATTTGACAACATTAACTTGAGTTTTTTTGTTTTGTTTTGTTTTTTTAGAACAAACATATGTAGTTGTTTCTATAACAATAACAATAATAGAAATTTGAAAAATAAAATGTTTCCCTTTTTTGAGAATTGTTTTATTGTTTTGATTTCATGTTTTGAATTTTCTTACATATTTCATATTTTTTTTATTTTGTTTTTGTTTTTTGAAATTTCTCTCTTTCTGGTTCATATGCCGGTGAAGATTCTTAGTCATCCAAGTTCAAAATCATTCAAAATCAGTTAAAAAAAAAATATTTCACTGAACTTTGTTTCCTAGTTTGAAAACATGTAAATTGATATGATATATGATAGCGCTATGATCGCAATCCTAATCCCTTTACAGGGGAACAGAAGACCTCGCCTATTCAGCCAGGAAAACAATTCCCTGTAACGACACCTCATGCAGAGACATAGACAGGTATGGGGCATAGCAGGCTAACAAATGAAGCCAAACGACCCCCATTCCAAAGGGGTGGACCAGTTCATCTGTTTCAGTTTGCATGTTCTCTAAACAACAACAAGGCTTTGTTGGGTTACTGTATAAAGCCTCGAAATCAACGCTATTTCTGACATTTTTAATTGAAAAAGCTTCCTGGATGGGAAGCGAAACATCTTCAAACTTGAAAACAAAGTCTAGTGCATTGTTCCTTTACATTTTTTTTAGATTTCTTTCAGGATGAGTTTTACAAATTGCATTATTTTCAAATTTATCTTGAGATCAGATACTCTTCATTTTACTCTTGAAGAAAAAAATGTTGCTATTAAAGTCTATGTAGACCAATAGAACTGCATCTTCATGCCCTCTTTTCAGAAATCTGGGGAAAAAATAGTTTAATAAAAAATATAGTGAAACAGCAAAGTTACCCTTTTTTATTTAAAAGTTTTTCAAAGCTTCAGTTTTGGATTGCATTTTTTTTTTTTTAGCAGATTTCCATTCACAAGATTATTTCCTTGCAAAAATAATGGAACAAATTCACTCCATACTGTGTATGTGTACCAGTAGTTCATATAGAAAAAAGCTATTAGTATTACTAATGATAGAAAGACAATTTTTTAAGCAGGTTTTTACAAAATCTATATTCAGTATTTTATACAAAAGTCTGGGCTGCTCAATAAGCTGCCTCTCACATTATAGATGTCAGGAAGCATTTTTGTTGTTAAGGCTGAAAATAATGTCCAAATCATGTTCAAAAGGCAATATGGCACCCCCCAATATTAAATAGTAACATCTAGCCAGTTAAAAGAGATAATAAATAGTTTATAACCGTACTTCCACAAATTTTCATATGGATTTAGTGAATATTGAACACTTGAAGTGACAGCAAGCCGCAGTATCACTGATTATTGATCCCATCAAAATGCCACACAAAGGGCACTAAGAAGAATGACAGTTTATTGCCCAATGTATTTGCTCCCCAATCCAAATGATTGGAATTAGTTGGTCCAATCACTTCTATGGCTGCAGATCCTAAGTAGGCAGACTGTTGTTAAAACATTTGGTTAAGAATGGGTTGCTCTCAAGAGCTCACTGAACATCTAAATATTCTGCAGTTAAATGTCAGCTGTATATTTAGAAAATGGAAGGGTTTGGGAACAACAGCAACTCATTCACAAAGTGTTAGGCTGCGTAAATAATGCATCTTTCTGCATAGGGAATCACTTGGCCGGTATGTTAGTGCAAGAATAGTATGCAGAGAGCTACATGGAATGTTGTATCAAATAACGCAATGCAAAACTGTTGGGATCTGGAGATCTGCCACCTTTCTCCAGCAGAGAGCGCCCTGGGTCTCCTGAGCTGAAGCCACCTGCACACCTGAGGCTGATTCATCTCATCAGGAGACCAGCTATATAAGCAGCGGCTTGACTTCCCTTCAGCGCCGGAGCGTTGACCAGTTTTGGTTAGCAGAACCTGAGCCAAGCCTGCACATCAGAATCTCTGATTACTCAAGAGAGTAACTCTGATCCTAACCAGCCTTTGTCTTCTCTGCTTCTTAGGAAAACCTGATTCAAGTCAGAAGCTCTGGAGGAGCTCATGTTTGGAAACCTGCCTGCCTGCTCTGAGAAGCCAAACCTGAAGATCGTCAGTCTGCATCTCCCTGCTAGTTCTCTGGAGAGAACTTGGAGAACAACTCAAGGTCTGAACCTCGCTAGCCTGAAGCTAAGCTCTGCCGCTGCAAAGCTCTCTGCCTCAGTCTCTGGACCCAACTGGTTCCCTCTCTCCACCGATCAGTCTGAACCTCATCAGGTACAACTCAGAATCAGACTCAGACAAGATGTCATAGCTGCCTGGCTAACCAAACTATCCCTCTATGCAGATAACTCTATGAATCCAGTCCCGGATCTGTACCAGAATCAGTGCAATCAAATACTCTGTGTGTTTATACTAATAAACTGTTTAACTTTTATCCAGTCTCCTGTGGTGTTCTGCATGTGGGTTAAGTCAGTGAGACCCATCATGACAAAAGCGTTGGATACAGTTGTGTAACTCACTCCACCATTGGACTCAAGAAAAGTGGAGACACATTCTCTGGAGAGACAAATTGTCCTCCTCCATCTTGAAATCTAGTGGACAAGTCTGGGTTTGGCAGTTGTCACTAGAGCGGTGTTTGTCTGACTACATCATGCAAAGTTTAAAGTTTGGTGAAGGGGGAATCATGGCGTGGGGTTGCTTTTCAGGTGGTGGTATCGGCACTGTTTGCCCCAGTGAATTGAACTCTGAATGCTCCAACATACTAAGGAGTTTTGGACAATTCCATGCTCCCAATATTGTGAATACAGTTTGGAGCTGGTCCCTTCCTCCTCCAGCATGAGTGTTCACCAGTGCACAAAGTGAGGCCCATAAAGACTTGGCTGGCAGAGTCTGTTGTGGATGGACTACTAGAATGCTACAAATTGTCCTGAGATATTTGTGTTGTTATGCAGCTGAAATCATTCTGACTGATTCTGTCTAATCCATGCCATCTCAAGGAAGATGAGAAGAGACAATTCAGACCCAGACTGATTAAAAATGGTTTATCAGAGCTCTGTGAGATATATATATATATGTGTATAGATATATATGTGTGTATAGATAGATAGATAGACAGACAGATATAAAAAAAAAAAAAACTCAGTATGGTGTGGATCAGGGGAAAAAAGCCACAGAAATTAGGACCTTTTAACCTGTGATCCCCGAAAGGGGAAGCAACTTCACGCTCTCAGTTGAAATTTTGGAAGGTTAAGTTAGAGCTGAAACATTAGTTTCATCTGTTATTGTTTTAATTCTAAACTTAAAAGCAACATCAACAAAACTCAGATAAAGAAAAATTGCCTCAGTGACTCTGCTGCAATGATACTAATTAAAATGCAATATTGTTTAATGACTGCCTCCCTGCAACACTAATTTTGGATCAGTCTGCTGATTACCCCAGCCGTGTGCCTCACAAAATACCTTGCACGGTACGACAAAAAAAAATGCCACCATTTTTGACAATTGTCAGTATGACATCTGTTTTACTGTATTGTATTATAACTCTAAATTGAAACAAAAATGTGTTTTTCTATTTGAATTCATTGATATAAATGAAAGATCAATTTTATAATAATTTTTGTCTTATTCACTTCCTTGTGGCTATATTTGTTGTAAAATTATACTACCGGTATTACTAAAGAAAAATTACTTAATGGTTAAACATAAAATCCTAATGGATTACAGTTCAACCAGATCATACAGTCAAATTGATACAAAGTTTTCTATTTAAGGAAAACCAGTTGATTGCATTGACTCAAATACAATCCCTCACGCTAAGCATGCTTGTGGTGACAGTGGAGAGGAAAAACTCCCTTTTAACAGGAAGAAACCTCCAGCAGAACCAGGCTCAGTGTGAGCGGCCATCTGCTGAGACCAAGTCATGCCTCCACCTGTACCGACCTTGTTACTGCAAAGTGAGCAGCTCTCTTCCTTAACGAACCATTGACGGAGGATTTGTGGACAGGTTAGGGTGTCATAGGTGGCTCTGATCAAAAAGCTGAGCCCAGCTTGGGGAATTTTCCATAGATCCGACCATGACATGGGCCTGTCAGAGGACCATGACATGTTAGTACGCGCTCATCCAGAAGGAGCAAATGCTGCATGTTTATGACTCCATGCAACCCGCTGTTTTTCTAATGACAGAACGAATTTGAAACAATCTGAATAACAAACTTAACCTAGCTCTGTTCTTGATAACTAGAATCAGATTATTGTATACAATTTACTTTGAATCTTTTTTTCCTACAGGTATTTGTAGACATGCATTTTTTTTGTTTCATTACAGAGGCAGATTTCCTAAGCTTTTGGAAAACTCCTATAGAACTCTGCCTCTTGAGTCATACTCTGGGTCTCCATGTTTCAGCCCATTTTTGCACAAATAGTTCCACATTGTAGATAAAGACCAGCATATGTTTTCTTTTTCTTTTTTTCTTTTTTTTTTTTTTTTCTTT